TGAAGATTTATGTAATATTGATGTTTCAAACATCACGATTGTAGTATCTTTTGTAGGTAACAGTATAACACACGCTCTTACATATCTTATCGTGGTATTATGTTTTCCCATTGCAACGCACGGGCATTTAACTAGTACAAACATAAGAATACAAAGCACACAATAACAATTAACTTGTAATAAGAAAGTAAAGTGCTTAAATCTTTGTGTGGGAATGTTAAAAGATTGGGCAATAAGACACTGGTTTTTTCATAAGTTATTGGAGTAGCTAGCACTTCCTCGCCTCCTAGTACTTGATGGAGCATTCACTAAGGGGTTTGCTTTCACTTCAGACACTACCACTCCAGCGATCACTAAGAAGGACCCTTCTCCATCTCCAGATTGGTTGGCTTTCAAACCGAGCACAAAGCTTACTAGGAGGCTCCCACTCTCTCTAAGAACTCACCAAGTGACCCTGCACTCACTTACTACTCTCTCTAAGATTGGCTAGTTGCTGTGTACCACCAAGAGTAACAAGCCTTGAGCTTCACTTGACCAAGAACAAACCTAATAAGGACTTACATGCACACTTACTACTCTCATTGCAATAATTATGTCCTTAATATTGCATCAAGAAATTCTCTCCTAGATGAATGAATTTCTTTGGTATCTAAGAGTCACCAAATGAATGCAATGAAACGGTATAAATAGGCGAGACAAAAAAACCAGCTATCACCAACAACTCTCTAAAAAGCTAAGCACCGGATGATTCAATGGTCAACGTTGAACCATATGGTATGTGCATTCCCAAAGCATAGTAAAATCCATCCGTTAGTCTTGGCATCACCTTATATACTTTGGTTCGTGCTCCAATTGTGGCATTAGACCATCTGGTCAATGCATTTTGAAATTTTCCCAAAAAACTTTCTCTACAAAAATGCTCCAATCCATTGAAACTCCAATGAGTTTATTTTTGGAAGTACCAGATTTGGTCTGCAAGTTTGCCTTTCACCTTGAGATGTCACTGTTAAGTAGACTAGTCAAAGCACCAAGCACTGGAACATGTGCTGCTTTTGCTATTAAAGTCTATTGTTGAATATATTCCTATCTGTGTGTTTTACGAACCATCAGACGTTTCGATATTTGTAATTTTTTCATGGACATATCCAATTCAATCCTTTTGAATCAATTCTTTGATCCAAATTTTTCCAAGAACTTCTATGGTCTACCTTATACTAAAATTCCACAATTCCTTATCCAACCAATCTAAACTCGCTAGGTTAAGCTACTATCTCTTAGCCCATCTTTATAGTTGAACGTTCAAAGAACTACCACTAGAAAAACCAACTCTAAGTGTCCTTCATCTCCTTGTAACACTTAGAACTAGAAGACCCTTAGTATTGACATCAATATTCTTTGATCATTCCATAAGTTATAGACTTAAGATTCCTATGGTCATTGTGACTTGATTTAAGATATGCCATTAATACAAATAGTTAATCACAAACATTAAAGTTGTTATTGATCACCAAAACACTTGTCACTTACTATTGGTGCTATTTGCAGTAACATTTTTACAACATTTATATTGATTGTTTCATCCTTTATAATAGGGTTTATGCAATGTGGCGCTAAAACGAACCCCATAACGCAACATCTTGTGTTTTTTGGTTGATGTTGCTATTTGCAAAGAGGCAAGCTTAAATGAGCACCTCTTTTTAGTAAGAAGCACCACCCAAGAGATCAAGATTGGGGCTCAAAAGACATGAAGATAGGCAAAGACTCGAAGCCACTAGCTTTGTTGTAGTATGCACCGCCTGATATCGCTCCGTCCCATGCTCATTTTTCCTGAGATTTCTCCCATAGAGCCACTCATCGACATGAAGGCCCTGATGGGCTAGTATCATATGTTCTTTCCTATGCAAGGGGCAATCATCTATTTGAACTCTTGCAGTCTTTTAGTATAACCTATAGTTGTCTATGCATATGTCTGGTGGTTGGTCAATTGTACAATGCAATTCTTAATCAAGTTTGATCTTGCTTAGTGGTCGTAACCGTGGTGGTTAGATTTTTTGCCAATCTATTCATTATCATATTGCTTGTAAAGAGTGGCACAAGATGTCACTGAGAGTTGTGATAAGTCGGTCTGACGAACATTTTTGATATAAACATTTCAACCTTTCAAGGATCTAGTTAGTAGAACTGTTTGCTTAGCTAGAGTCCTGTTTGTTCCTTGAGTTCGATATAAACACTGACGTATTCCTAGGGAAGAGGCTACAACATTACTATGTGCTTGTGGTATGAGTAGATTGCACAACTGATGACAACACATACCTAGTAGAATAATGTGCTCGGGACAGGGCCAACCTATGGGTAGTGGTGTTGGAAGTGGGAAATGATATGGATAGGAGCCCCATGGATTGCTCCCAGCTATATATAGAGTGTTACCCATGTGAAAAGAGGGGCTCCAAAATTAAAAGGTAGGATACAGTGTTGTTTTGGAACCAAATTTGTTTGATTTTCCATCAGAATTAGGGTAGGGGTTTAGGTAGGGGTTGGGTTGGGGTTTATCTTAGTTGCAAGATAAGAGATATGAAATTAATTACTTCAAATAGTTGAAAGGTATCAAGGAACATATGAAATATATAATTGCTTTCGTATATTTTTCACTCAAGTACATTGTATTTATGGTCACCAAACTTGTCATATACGAGCAAATAGGTCACAAAGTTTGAAATGGGACTATCCATCACTAAACTTATTAAGTCAACCAACTAAGGGTTTGTATGGATCCCATGGCCTAACAACTACTAATTGACTATTGTTTAGCTCCTAAGGATCCAAACATGTGGGCCAAAAGATGGACTAATTGTTAGCCAAGAAAAGGACAAGTTGTTTATCAACTAGTTGGCGAATAGCATTTGATGGGGGCTAAAAGGTGACCACAGATGGAGAAAAGACCAAAATGCCCCCTTTAACCTTATCCACGTGCTTCTTTTTCACCTGCTTGGCTACGCCACACGTCCCTCTCCCCAGCCGCCATCGTACGCCACTGCGCATGTCGTGGCTTGTGCCGACGCACAACATGCACTCTCACGCAGGGATTTCGGGGCGTTGCCACCCACCTGGTCTCGCCTTCTATTCAGCTGCTTGTAAGGGATGAATTCATTTGGTTCCGCCTTCGATTCAGATGCCATCCCCTTGCTGGTCTTCAAGATCGAGGAGGAGAAAGGGAGATGGAGCAGTGGAGGTGGACGGGGTTTGCACGCTTGCAGTGAGCGGAGGTACTGGTGGCCACCGAGCCCTGCCTCCAATGTAGCTTCATCTCCACCCATGCTTTGGAGTCTGGCTTGCGACAACCCGCCTCCTAGCGCACCTTGTTGGGCTTCGATGCCTACACCTCCGCCCGACCATGGCTAACCTTGGAAGCTTCGATCATCTCTCCACTGATGCTCCAATAGTCTCTGTGGTGGAGAGAGAGAGAGAGAGAGAGAGTGAGTGAGATTCGTGCGGTAGAGGGAAGAGGGGAAAAGTGAAGGGCACTCTAGTACATCTGTAGATATGTATGAAGTTATTAGCTAGGGATCTAAACATGTATGGACTAACGACTAGCTCTTATTTTCACCCACAGTTAACAACTAGTCCTAGTCCATCTACACATGGCATAAGGTTACTCATGTGCTGACTTGTCCAATCTTATTGTTGTGGACACTGCATATAGTGCCACTATATGGCAATAGGTTCACATTATAATGATGGCACAATTTACAATATTTGTGTTAAAGTCACTTCATCATGCTAAAACTAATAATTTGCGCCCTATCTCATATATTAAACATTATTTGATGGATGCTGAGAAGTGTCATGACTGTCATGAGAGCAGCCAATCCACTTGCACAATATAGAACGAGAGAGACCATGGTTCAACATGGCACAACCCATAGAACGAGAGAGAGACCATGGTTCAACATGGCACAACCCTGAGTTTATAACGCCAGAAAAGAGTGTCCACTAGGTTGTTGGTTGAACCATATGCATCGAGTAGATGAACCATGGTGACTATTCCATTCCAAATTATAAGTCATTCTGACTTTTGTAGCTACATAGATTTTATTATATATCTAAAAGACTTTACTATGTATCTAAAAATCAAAATGACTTTTAGTTTGGAATGGAGGGAGTAGTTAGAAGTGAAAAAATCGTACAAGACATGAGATAAATGTTGTTGGAGGGTTTTTATTTAAATATGTATCATGTGTAGTGCCAATTTCAGCGCGATTAGAGGAGTTGACATATCAATGACCTTAGACAATTTACTTAGAAAGTCTAATTATGATTTAGTCCAATTTATTAGAACAATAACCTAGGAAGTGAATCTAGGTTAACTTATTCGGTGAAAGCTCAGGTTCCGTCATCTTTAACTCAAAAATTTGGATGTCTATTTTCTTTTTAATGATATTAATGATAATAATGGTAATAAAAACCATCTACACCCTCTTAGGTCGTTTTTTTAGAACAGTGACCTATTTGCACGTGCAAGATAAGTTCGGTGACCTTGAACACAGTTTTCTCTTTTCCCGCTCAGCATAAAGGACAAATAATTAATCCTGATTAGAGGTACAGATTAATGTTGTGCATAGCACATGAAACGGGCATATTTGTAGACTGTCAAGTTACTCGCAAGTTGCATTGGAAACCACTTGCATGCACAAGTGTAATCTCCACTAAAAAAATAACACGAGGCCCAAATTTTGTGAGACGTCCACGTACGTTTGCAGCAGACATCATCACATCGTCGTGCCGCTGTTTGCAACCTCCATGCAACGGTGCATGCTTTTTGCCAAAACAAAATTTCACCTCTCTTCAACACATAATTCGAAGAGGGGAAAAATAGGTAGCAAGGATGATGCAATGCCCTCAATATTTTCATCGTTCCAACTTCCAAATGCTAAAAACACCACTGGATCGGACGTTCAAAGAGCGAAAAAAATATTTAAGAATCCAAGAATCCTCCGTGACGATCAAATTAGCACAGTCACGACGAGCATGCCGTTGTCCATCTTTACTTTGGCAGCGTCTGCATGCCCGCTTTTGACATCGGCGACGACTATGACGCCGCGGCCGCCGGTTAGCACGCTCGCGCGGACGGCCTGCTCGGCCCAGTCCGTGCGCAGCACCACGTGCAGCATCAGCGCCGCGCACACCAGCTGCGCGGCGAGCATGCCGACCCACATGCCGGCGAAGTCGAGCCGCGCGGGCCAGAACGCCAGCACGAGCGCCGCCGGCATGCCGACGCCGTAGAAGGCGGAGACGTTGATCCTCGCCGCCTTTCCGGGCCGCGCGCTGCCGCGCAGCACGCCGCAGCCGGCCGTCTGCGGGCAGTTTCCCAGCTCGGCCGCGCCGAGTATGGGCAGCGCCGCGGACGCTAGCCGAAGGATGGCGGCGTCGGTGGTGAACATCCGCGCCCACACCCCTCTCACGGACGCCGCGAAGGCGCACGCCAGGAGCCCGAGCGCGGCGCCGCAGCAGAGGCCGACGCAGGCCACGAGGCGCGCGCGCTCCGGCCGCCCCGCGCCGAGCTCGTGCCCGACGCGCGTGGACACGGCGCAGCTGAGGGAGTGCGGGAAGATGTAGAGCAGCGACGTGGTCTGTATCATGATCCCCATCGCGGCCACCGCCGCCTTGGGGTCGGCGAGCAGGCCGCAGAGCAGCACCATGATCTCGTACCACCACCACTCCGAGCACACCGACATGCAGCTGTGCAGGGACAGCCTCAGCAGGCACCCCCACTCGACCGCGTCGTCCTCAGCCGCCGCCGCCGGCAGCGGCGTCGCGCACAGCGCGTTGGCCTTGCCATTTCCGCCGTCATCGCCATTCATTAGTCCAGTAAGGTAGACGTAAGCCACAAGGAACAGCAGGAAGTTGAGGTTGGTGCAGACGGCGCCGAGCGCGACGCCGCGTATCCCTAGCCGGAGGCTTTGCACGAGGAGGCAGTTGACGGGGACGTGGAGCAGGAGCGCCGCGGCGGCGGCGTACGTGAGCGGGAGCGTGACGGACTGCGCGCGGAGGTACACGCGCAGCGGGTGGAGGAAGGACTGCACGACGAGGTCGGGCAGCGAGCACAGGATGAAGTCGTACGCGGCGGCCGCAATGTCGGGGTCCTGGCCGGTGGCGACGAGCACGCGGTGCATGGCGAGCCAGAGCAGGCTGATGGGCACGGAAGCGGCCAGGAGCAGGACGACCGTGCGGCGGAGCGCGGCGGTGAGGACGGACGTGCGGCCGGCGCCGAACGCCTGGCCGCACACGGGGTCCATCCCGGCGGCGAGTCCGGAGAGCACGGAGTAGCCGGTGATGTTGGCGAAGCCGAGCGCGAGGGAGCCTCCGGCGAGGGGCAGGCGGCCGAGCCTGCCGAGGAAGAGCATGGAGACGAGGGAGCGCATGTACATGAGCAGACCCGCGCCGACCATCGGCACGGCGAGGCGCAGGATGGACGCGATGACCTCGATGGCCGTGCCGCCGTCGCCGCCGCGCGGCGCCGGCCTCGGGCGGTCACCCAGCGCGGGGCAGGCCTTGGTTGGCGGGAGCAGGACCTGGTGGTGGCATTGTGTCGGCTCGGAGCAGTGGCACATCGCAATGCGATCCGTGGAACGTGGATGCGTGTGCTGTTTCGGGCAATGCGCTAATGTTTGTTTGCCGTTGCGAGATGTGTTTGATGATGCGAAGCGAGCAGGGGAGTGATGGCACAGGGAGTTAGGGAATTGGACGTATATATAACCAACCGCTCTGCTCAATGCTGACATCCGTTTGAAAAAAAATTGTGCCCTGGGTCCACATGATTTTTTCTAAATTCCTTTAATCTTTGTTTGGACGTTATCGGATTCATCTCAATCCAAAATAAACCGTTAGATGTGCAATGTTTGAATTGAAGAAAAAGAAATTCTAGCAGCGAATAAAATATTTTATATGTAATAGTGTTAACGATGTGTGCGGACACATAGAGGCAGGAAATCTCCGAGAGGCGGAGTGCCTTAGAGAAATCACTCTTGAGTCTTCTTTTGTGGGGCTTGGTCTACAATTTTTATCCATTCTCTACTTTCGCCCAGCCCTTAACTAAATGTGTTTTGTAGGGATATTCACTCTGGATCAGTCACACCGACACATGATATTGTTGGTCATGATGATAGATTTCAATACGAATATAAGGATATTCATAGAGGCTAAGAACACTGTAGGGTCAACTGAAAGCATGGGGCTCAGAGGCACTTTTGTTGTAGTGTGTATATGTCTTTGTTTATATCTTTGATAGTACTTACACATTGTATACTCTCTTGAGTCATTGCATAGTGGGCTTATTGGATAGATTTTGAGTCAACGATCTCAAAGAAGTTGAATTGTATAAGGTTAGATTTAAAACGAGCTTAGAATATGCATCGGATGGTTGGAACCTACCTGGTGGATCATCTAATGGCACTGTGCATAGCTCAGTTTTGAATTTATTAGCCATGGCACCATGTTGCGCTATATGATCCGGTGAGCCTCGGTGGCTCATGGCGGATCATCTGGTGATATTGTGACTTGACTATATGTCAAGTGGACAATATATCGTGTTTCACTATATGATCCGATGTACCTGTGTGGAGCCTGCCGGATCATCCGGTGACGGTAAGCCTCGAGTGTGTCGAGTGCCTAAGTTACACTAGACCGTGCCGTATGATTTGGTGGTGCATTTATGAATCACGGCAAGGCATATGCTCGCACATTCTCTTTGACTATAGAATCACAAAATGATCCAGTGCACCTAGGTGGAGCATGACAGATCACCCAATGATATCTAAGTCTGCAGACTTTTTTCATGCCTAGCATGGCCTTCACACTATATGTATATTTGCATTTCCCAGCTCATTGGGAGATGCTCTTTCACTCCAGGCGTGAGACGATTCTAGAGGGAGTTTGTGAAGTATGTGAGAGCCATCCAAGTCAATATTGCTACTTGCAAGAGTATACTTAATGTGCTTTCCGCAACTAACACTACTACAATAAAACTTAACCGAGGTGTTTAGCAAAGGGGCTCAGAGGCGGTTGAGCCGGTTGCCCATCTCGGTTATTCGTGGCCGGGCAGCCGGTCCAACAATCGCCTCGGTTAACGCGCCCACCTCGATTAATGCCTATTAACTGAGGTGGTTGTCCTAACGCAACCGCCTTGGATAATCCTTGGATAATCTATATTAGGGCAACCGCCTCGGTTAATCGATTAATCAAGGTGGTTGGGCTTATGTTGCTCGCCTTAGTTAATCCTGAGCTATAAATATAGCCGCATCCACCATTCTTCCCCACGGCTTCTCCTCTATTTTTGTGGGTTTTGAGCTCCAAAACCCTAAAAATTGAGCATTTCCTAGGGGGAGAAATTTTGCCCTTGGATTTGTTGAAGGAGGGCACCGCAAGAGGTAGCTAATCGCTCTCCAATCCTTATTCTTCTCTCTTTTTCTTTATTTGGGTGCTTTTTCTCTAGATCTAGATCTATATTTATATGGAGGAGAGAGATATCAGATCTAGAGTTACCTGGCTGTATTTTTTCCATACTGCTATGCTTATATGCCTTTTTTGCTGTGTGTGTGCAAGGTTCGCGGTCATGGACAGGGAATGGATGTACACGACATGAAGGTTGGATCTGTCTTACCTGGATCATGTGAGAAAATTTGTTGCTACTGCGAAAAAGCATCGTCTGAGTCTGGACCGGCCGCGCATCATTTGTCTGTGTAATAGCTGCAAGAACAAGCTTGCCCAGAAAGATAACGTGGTGCAATCTCACTTGGTTCGGTATGGTTTCGCCAAGGATTACACCGTCTGGAAGTTTCACGGCGAAGCAGATTCGAGTGCCGGTGCATCCTGGTGGAAACTCGTCGACATCGAAGGCAGCGGTAAATGCAGAACAACAACTCTCATCAGCAGCGACAGCTCAAGAAAGCACAAAGTTGGTGACAGAAGGAAAAGGTCGACCATAAGAGCATCACTCGAACAATAGCATATATTTGTAAATTTATCACGGACTCCTACGTGCATGTTGGGGAAAGTTCTTCAACACAGAGAGCGAGTTAACGACGGAGGAGAAGTACGTGAAGATAAGAAACTAGAGAACCATGCTAGACATCACGGATTACAAGTTGTGGACATCTTTTTATTAGGTGACCTTAGTTTCACATGTACAAATGTGATGTGTGTTTGTGGTACGATGATAAAGACATCCATGTAATGTAATAGCTTAATGTTTGTTCGTGGAACGATAAGGATGACACATGAATGAATGTAATATATGTTTGTCCTCTATATGCGTTTTAATTTACGAAATTCAAATTCAAATTAAAATTTGAATTCGAAAAAGTATTTTTTTATCTGAAAATTATTAACGGAGGCGGGCAACTAATAACAACCGCCTCCATTAATGGTTTAACCGAGGCGGACGGCTTTAGCCAACCGCCTCGGTTAACCTCTTAATGGAGGCGGTCTATTTAGGGTGACCGCCTCGGTTAATAAGTATTAACCGAGACGGTCGGCCAACCGCCTCCGTTAAGACCGGATTAACCGTGACCTTTGGACAGAGGCGGACGGCTTGCCCGTCTCGTTAATATAATTTGCGTGATTCGGTTAAGTTTTCTGTAGTAGTGTAAGGATCCTTTTAGTGTGAATCTTTTCATCAGTGTGATCTTTTTAGTTCAAGAAGCTAACCGTGCAAGTAGGTGAGTAGAATTGCCTAGGTTAAGGTTGCTGCAGTTATTTTTTTTAGAGTTCAATTCACTCCTCTTGGACGTTCAGTTCTTTCAATGGTCCAATGTGAGAGCGAGTATGCTTATGTATGTTTGACCTTGTAATTAAAAAAATAAAATTGCTAATTTTATAATATCATTTAGTACAATATCATGCTTTATGAAGGAATAGTACATACACACATGGATATGGGTTCAATGGTCAAAATCCGTGACCGCTCTACGTAAGGTTGAGGTCCCTAATCTTTATTTAGACATGTGCTGGATCGGTGTGGGTGGACCATGCATGGTAGTGTGAGTGCGCGTGAGATAAAGGAATTAGAACATTTTGTGCAACCAAAGAACTCATTTGAGTTTTTTTTAAGGACTCATTTGGAGCCTGTGTACCACGAATATGCCACGCCAATGCCGCTTGAACAAATTTTGTTCTTGCCAACCAAAGGAGTTATTTGCACTATGAGGTTGGGATTTCACAGAAACTTTATACGGTGGTTGTTACATAGAAATATTGCTCCCATATACTAGGGCGCGTTTGACAGCGCTCTCTAGCTTCAGCTTTAACGCTAGCATGGCGGAGCTAAAGTTGATGAAGGTGAAATTATGACACCACCTCTTTCGGGACCTAGAACAGTTTCATGCTACAGTTGCAAACATTGATGCTACAGTGTTTGTCAGAAGCTGAAGTGGGAGCTAGCTGTACTAGACACGCCTTAAGAGAGCCATGCCTTAATTTGTGGCTCTATGCTTTGCTTCACCAAAAGACGTTGGCAAAAGACCCCGGAATTAGGGTCCATTTAGTTAAGCTTTTGACTTTGGCTTTTGGTTTTAAAAGTTAAAAGTTCAATCAAAGAAGCTGCTTTTGGAGATTAAATTTTTTAGAAGTAGCTGTTTTTTCGTAGTATATTTTTGAAAGCTGGTTTGATACTGCTTTTTGCTTTTGGCTTTCTGCTTTTTGAAATTTGTAAAATAAAAAGCTCTTCTATAGTTGTTTCGAGAGAGATAAAGATAGAATGTATATTTTATACTTATTTAACCAAACAGCTTTCAGCTTTTCTACAGCTTACGGTCTATAGCAGCTTTTTCACAGCTCACAGCCCACAGCAGTTTTTTCCCCACAGTTACAAGCTCAACAGACACACCCTTATATTAACACACATCTTGCTACTTGCTAGCAATTTGAGGATGTACACATGCAACTTTGTTGTACCCAGCATAGAGATACTCTGTAACAGGAAACGTGCATGTTGATAAGGGACGTCGGGATCGAACGATAGATCGCATCATTTTGGGTGTGACTGGTGACGTGAAATGAACGCCCCTGCCATTATGATAGCTTTGCCTTTCCTAAAGCACATTATAAGCAACAGTTCACGGCCCTTTAATTGCACAGCGTTTTCAGCCCTTCTTTTCAAGTACACTGCTGCCGATATTTGTCGTGCACGGTTCTCGCTGGAAAAACAAGTCGAGAAGTATAAATTATCAGCCGTAGGTTGGGCTTGCTCGTATACGATCGTAAATTTTCAGCCGGTATAGTATTTTTCTCTCACCCCAAACTAGCCAAACCAGCCAGCAGTAAATAATTTACGATCGTTTACGGCCTGCCGAACAGACGGTATATTTGTCATGACAACCAGCTTGTTTGTTCGAGGCACTGACAGGACATCATTACAAACCAAATGGCCATGTAGTGATTCACGAGTATCCCTTATGAGCATGCCGCTTGCGGCTAAATCCATTGAGGATGAAAGAAAGGCCTTCTTAAACACCGATGAATCCATCTTTAGTTGTATCCGGGAGATCCCAAAATCTATCGCCGATTGCAGCGCCTTTGCACACGCCGATGTTTCAGCAGTAAGGGCATCCGGAAC